AGTTTGTTTATAAGTTAAAATAAATCTTTTAAAAAGTATCAAAGCAAATTTCACCTGGACTCCATGAAAAATTGCTTATTAGATAGCGTTCACTTTGGTTGATATCTTCCATATTTTCAATTATTTTTATGTTTGGCAAACTCCACGGTTGATCGAATTTTATTTGGTCACCTGAATTATGAAATCAAAAATAAAAATGAAACTTTTAAACATAATACAAAAAGCTTTTATGTAAATTCGCCAATTCAAAGATAATTACTCTATTAATCAATTTTTTAGTATTCTCCATTATTTCATATTTCTAGCTTACTTACTTTTAGATACAAAAGTAGACGTCTTGTTAAATCAATCAAGCGCAGTTATTTTTTTGATTCATTTACGAATTCCATTCATCAAAAGAATCCAGAAAAAGAAAGAAAGAACCTCCTTGAGGAAAAATTCGAGTTATTTGAATGATTGATAATCGATCAAAATGATTCGAATTAGCCACATGCATATCATAGAAGCTCCAATTTGTTATTAGCAATATTAAGAGAGATAAAATGATTGCAAAAGTTAAAAGTATCAATCCATTTCTTGTTGCTACAATAATTCAAATTTATTTTCGGGGCTTTTTTTAAATCGCATGAAATTTCGTTAAAAATTATAAAAATTTGGAAGGAAAAATTAATTTTAAAAACGTTCATTTTTCCCTCTGCATGAAATGAAAATCTTAACAAAATAATCGTTTTATTATGCAAAATTGCTTCATTTATTACATAATTTTACATCTGTAATATATTTTTTTATTAATGAATAGATTTTTGAAAGAATTTTTGACTTTAAATGCTGTGGCTTTTTTCCTTCTTTAGAAATATCAGGATGATATGAATTCATTCTAGCAAATGCTTAATTGTGAATTTAAAATACAATTAAGGAAATCAAATTACCGAAGCAACCATGCATTGATTAACAGCGATTACGAAAGAACGGATGAATGGGTTTATTCAAAGGAAGACTGATAATATCACACATTATTTCAACGCCAACAGCAATGATGACGGTAATATGACCTCGACAATGACCTTCGGGAGCACAAGGTTAAATGAAATGAACGAATCAACAAAAATTGTGACTACCTATTCTAAAATTTCTTAAACTTTCTTTTATCAAATCATTCAACAGTAATATCAAAAGATCTTTTTAAATTTTAAAAGTTACGCCTATCAAATCATATTGTATACCGCAGAATTGATAATATTCACACACTGCATATTCCAACTATAATATAGTTAACTTTTTTAAATTATCATTAAAGTAAGTAAACCTTAGGTGCACTTATAATTGTCGCTCAATTTTTTTCTGACAAATGTGACTATTAATGATATTTTGCTAATTCTCCTCTTATAATGATTTCTTTAATTCGAGAAATGATTATTAAACTTTTTGACGAACATTTCATTCCATTTATTAGATTTTGTGCCACTAATTCATTACCGATTCCATATCAGCTGTTGATTTGTCAAATTTAAATAACAAATCATAAACTAAGACCATTTCAGGTAAAAGACTGTAAAAAAAATGAGTTACATGGATCTTCATAAAATTTCTCAACTAATTATTAATTATTGTCTTTGAAATAATTATATTTCTGAACGAATTTTCGATCACATTTCTTCCTACAATCTTTTATTTTCATAATTTTTTAAATTCACTGAAATAGAATGTTGAAAATTCATTTAACAAATTAGTGAATTAGTGAAAATTTGATGAAATTACCAACGTTACCTTTATAGGAAAATATTTGAAAATTTTTCACATACATTATTTTAAGTAAAACATAAGAAACTAGCTGGTTTAAAAAGAGTTTTTCAGTAACCAGTCGGACGCTGTCATCTAAGATATTGCTATTCTAAGATAATTTTGCTCAAAAAATTTTACTCTATACAGTTTGTTTATAAAATTTTAGCAATTTAATCTCTCTAGCTATTAAAGATTGATGGGATCAGTATCAAACAATGTTTTTGACCTTTTTCAGTATACCTACTACGTCAATTAAATTTTACACGGATCGTTTTAATAAGCGCTGAAATAAAGTTTTGCAGTGAAATGAAAGTTTTGAAGGATATAAGTTCTACTTAATAGCTATAAAATAAAAGTAATCTTTCATAATTTTCGTTCTATTATCCATCAGCAATTAATTACAAATGTTATTCATTGCTTGTTTTAAAATTGATTTTTTATTTTTCGTGCAACTTTTTTTTTAATTTCGATTTCGAAAAAGCAATTCTCGAAGTGTTGTAAATTTAAAATTGATCCATAACATAGTGAATGGTCTTGCTTTCTCAGATATTAATAGTGTAAGAGAATTCAATCGCGATTCTTTCTCACTTAATCAATGAGATCTTTCATTTGATTGGTGATAAGTGGTTTATCGATATAACAGTTTGATTAAGATTACAGGTGATAAAATCTGATTGGGAGAGGAGGAGAATGAGAAAGTAATATTGGAATGTAGAATGACAAGGAAAAATATAAGGAAGTTTACTCATTCATTCATTGATTACGAGACAATCTTCCATTTCTCGACATCAGTTCTCAGCGAGTTCTCGGAACGATTGTCGAGAGCCTTTTGTTTGTTTCACAGATGAGGAGGATAGGTGCGACAGGTTTGGATTCGCGCTGCTATCAGTCAATTGAGAGGTCATTTCCTGCCTTTTCACTACTCTTTCCTTTTTCCGAATTGATCCACTTCGGAATGGAATTGGGTGAGTGATTGAGTGAATTCAGTTCATTCGTCGACACTTTCGACAATAAATCGATAATGGCCTTTCAATCGTTGAAGACATTTCGTCCTCAGTCCTTTGTTGATATCTGCAAATTATATAACATCTTGAGGATCTTTCTCTAAATCTTCGGTCATTTGTCAGTATATCTTAAGATTATATATATTGCACTCATTTACTTAATTTACTTCGCGATGATATATTTCGTATTCTTTGAGAGAGTTAAAGTATTCCCACTTCCTGAACATATTGAGTTGATGGTCGTCGAATTATGCAAACTATTATGCTATAAGTTAAGATGATTGGATTAGAGAATTAGTTTCACATTTTAATAGAATGTAGAATAGATACAGATCATTCGTTATTTTACCGAATGTGAAAAAAAAAGACGAACTGAGTCGAATGTTTTTTGTAAATTAAACGCTTTAATTCATTCATCATTCTTGCCATAGAAATTGTAAGAATTTCAGGGAAAGAAGTGAAGTATGTCCGGTACGGAGTTTGATTTCTATCCGCTTATCGTGGCTACATGCTTCTATCTATCTGTTTTCGTAATTGCTGAATTAACGCGTAAGCTTATCGACAAGTAAGTTATTTGCATTTTTGTACTTTACTTCAATACATCGAAATTATTTTTTAAACATCTATTTTGTCTATTTGGTCATTTACATAACGCGGAAATCAGATATGTGTGATCATGGCTTGTTTTTGAAAGCATTTCCTTATTAGATAAATTGTTGCATTTAGAATTTCATTTCAAATGTTTAATTATTAATTTCATGATTTTTCAGATATGAAACGCCTGGTTCATTGTTATATCATTTTCTAATGGAAATAATAGCAACAGCGCAAATGTGTACTTGTGTTTATGAGAACGGTAATATTTTTTTTTTTGTATTTTAATCAGGTAGCATATACTGTATGATATATGAATTTTTACATGTTTGATAATTGGGAATAAACGAGAATTATTTGCCCTGATATTCTAGCTTTGATTATTGGACATTATGGCTTATTGGGTTTCTTTTTCACCGTTACTTTGCTTATTTTTTCTGGCGGTGTCATGAATCGAGAAGCATTTGTTTCTCCATTACCACCAATTGAGCTGTATTATAAAGGAATATTTCCGTTGGTTCTTCCTTTTATTTTTATTCAGTTATTGGTGAAGTTATAAAAAAATTAGATGATTTTATCATTGTTGTGTATTTGATGGTATTGATTAAGGGAAGCAGTTAAACAACTGGAAAAACATTCTATTCGTAAGAATTGCAGATTGAAAAGATTATTAGTAACCATAGCTGGCCAAATGATTGGTGGTTATTCGGCTTATCGGATAGCCCGTAATCTATGGTACTGGTCGTTGAATTTGTCTCCTGATCATGCTCTTTTCTATGAACTCACAAGTTGTAAATTTAGTTATAAGGTTGGAACTCATCAAATTGGGAGCTTTTTGAAAATTGAGAACGTTTATTTTTCGTTAAGCCTTTTTCGCTAATAAGAGAATAAATGTGGAAAATTTTTTTTTCATCTCTTTTTGTTTATTGTGACATGAAATTGTTGTAGAAATTGAGAGGACATCAACTTTTTTCACATAAGTTGCAAGTCAATAATCTAGGCACATTTTTAGTTCCTCTAACAGTAAGTGAATGCCGAAGTAAACGCAGTTTATTCACTTTAGGTTCCGTTCATGTTCGTGCCTTCCTTCGAAGTATTTGGCTGTTTTCTAATGCGCTACATTCTTCTTCGCATTCCTGCAAATTTCAAGATATTTATGGTTCCAATTGTTGTGTCAGCATTTTTGACATTTGGTTTGTTTTTGTGCTTTCATAAAATCCACAACTTTTTTGTATTAAGCATGCCAATTTCAAAAGTTATATAATTGCAGTTTTATTAACTATAACTGTAATACAGTTTTAAAAGTAAAAAAATAACTTAGTATAAATATTTGACAAAATTTGCTAGTCGCAATGAAAAATGTATTTATACATTTTAGATCATAGACTGATGATAGCTGCATGCTAATTCATATATGATTGCAACTGTCAATGCTTAAAAATGTTTAATTTCCAAGATTTTACATTCTTGATTCAGTTTCAGTTAAACAATAATGAATGAATCAAACGGTGATCTACTCACTGCTATCCATATAGTAATTAAATTATTATTTTCTTCAGCATTAATACTTGTGGGTGTTCCTGGACTTAATCCAACAATTGTTTCATCACGTTTACAAGGTTGTGACGGGCTAGACACTATTTGGTTTATTTTGACTTATTGGATATGTCCTACAATTGGTTGGATGTTATCGGTTTTCATGGATGATCGTAAAATCCCTGTTGTTGGGAAGAAACCAGAATAATAGAAAGTATGCAAGTGCTGTGTATTTTCAAAGTTCTCATTTCGACTCAATTAGTTTTCTCTTTGATAGTACATTCATAAATTATTTATAATAGCTTTTTTTTTTTCGTCTCATCCTTTCAGTATTATTGTTGAAGTATCTTCACTGATTGTCATAATTTATTTGCCATTTAGAAGCTCTTTTTTGTTAAGTAAATTACTGTAGTTCAATAAGCTAGAATTTTCTTTTCAATTTGCTCACTTACTGTTTAAGTTATTCAAATTAATTTTTAGCCAACGGATTTCTGAGCTAAGAACTAGTTTTATTTCTGCTTTTAATTATAAATTATAAGTTTTTTATAAAACGGATTACTAGGAATTATTCTAGTGTATATAAGCCTTCTGTGAATATATATATATGAAGTTCAACTTTTGTTATTTTTTACATTTGGAGATAATTTAGATTTAATGTTCACTCTTTGTAATATCAACAAAAGCTAAAATCCTGTTTTTTTCCCCCATTCAGATGATATATTGTAAATATTTTGATGACTTTGAAATGTTTATTTCAGCTAATGAAATCACAAATAACAAAGAATGATGTGAACAGCAGTGATTGATTTAAATATGCAGCATTTTCTAATTCCTTGTAGTTGGAATAATCCTTAAAATTCGCTGCAATTTTTTAATGAAATCAATTCAGAAATCGTCAACATTGCATACGACGATAACCTTCAAAACTTATTTCCCTAATAAGCACAGCATTTCACAAATTAACAGTTAAAAAAAAGTAAAATGAAAAAAATTGAGAAATGTGCATGAATGTACATGATGTGGTGTGGATGTGTGGTGGTAATGACCATTTTTGGAATTAGCATGATATGAAATTATAAAAGCTGTGGTGCTTCATCTCATTCAGCCATCAGCTGGATAAGCCTCATTTTCTCTCATTCCATAAAATAGGGGTATTATTATGTAGCATGCTTTTCTGTCCGTTGTTGATATAATAGCATTGACGGGTGGTAGCTGAGTACATTCTCATTTATAAAAATATAACTTTACTTCAATAGGATTAGAAATTAGCGAAGCAATTAATAAGAGAAAGTTGATATGTAAGCTTAAGATTATTTTCATCAATTTTGAGCAATAATTCATTTATAAATTATTGAAATAGTGATAATTTTTAAGAGAGAAAATTGCAGGGAAAAAAACTCTTCTGAAAACAGTCCCATTCATTAATGATTATTTCATTATTTTTTTCAAATACATTTCTTACATTTTTGAAAATTCTTTATAATTCAGAATTTTATCAACATTTAATTTAAAATAGAATAATAGTATTTCATTAATTAGCATGATATAAGGACACATTGCTACTCATTTAATTTACTATTCTCTATTTCCAAACATAATTCTTTACTTCTCTCTCCCTGCCTCATATCCAATTCATCCATCCGTCCTCTGCAACAATTAAACCAACATTAATCATTTGAAAACAGTCATTTTTCGAACTGATTTCACCATGTTTTCATGCATTCTATAAATTTTAAAAATGTAAAAGAATTTCTTCCTGCCATTTCCTTTCTTCCATTGAAACATTCTTCCATTCAGTTCAATAATTTTTTATGAATTTAAAGGATCAAATATCTCAATCTGATTATATTTGTACCGTTATTGCCCAATTTTTTCTCAGACAGTTTTATTCTCTCATTGATATTTTTAAAGATATTTGATGTTTTAAAATTTTCATCAATCACAAAATTTCAATGCTTTATAGATACTATGATAATAACAGGAAAATTAATATGAAATAAATAAAATACTTGTCTTAAAGAGATTTAAATTCAAAGTATGTCTACTGAATTAAGAAGTTATAAAATATGAAAATTTTTAATTGAGTTTTTAATTGAATTTAATTATCGTTCATTTCTTTACTTGCACTTTTTTTCTTAAGTTTAAAAAATTGAGTAATCAGTCAGCCTTATCCAATGAAATCATTTTGTTGCAGTTAATCGTTTAATTGTTGTGCCCAATATCCTTATCTTTTAAATTTCAGGATCAAATTATCAGGCTATCATCAGAAGTGTATTTTGTGGCCAAAGTTATGTTCACTTTCTCGCATTACAGGTAGGAACGAAACATTGTGATATTTCCATCAAAAAAAAAGAAAAATTATTGAAGTGTTTTGCTTTTTCTCTTTTCAACTAAAAATTATCTATTAATCTTTTCATTTCTTTCTATTGCTCATAAATCATTGTTTGAAATTTCAAAATTGATTTTATTAGCCATACATTCTAATAGCAATTTAATAATGCGAATTCAACAAGACTGCATGGAATATTGTTGCAAATAAAAAATTTTTTCAAATAGTAAATTTTATACATTTCATAAATTTTTTTCCAACAAATGCATTATAATTTAAAAATGAAAACTTTGCCGACTGCTTGGATTGCTGAATTATTTTAGTATTCATGAACGATAGAACAGCTTAATGTGATAGCAAATATGATTGAATGAATGTTTTGAAGTATGTTAAATGAGCAATGGCAAATATACCATTATAGCTTATTACACTTCACCTGCTACTTCATATTTCTTTTTGTCTACCCCAAAAAGTTTTTGAAAAAGGTAAACTGAGATGAAATTTTTAAATAAAATGATAACTGTGTATAAATTCAATCATTCATAACAATACAAACTATAATCAACCATATTTCTGCATATTTTACCAAACATAAAATATGTGTAACGGATAAATTTCATTACAGAATTCTGTAATCATATAAAATTAAACTTGGAAAAATTTAACGAAAATGATTACACTATCATATAAGAGAATAAATATCTTTCATTTACCATTCATTTTAATTTCACTGTACAAATGGTATGATATTATTTGTTTCTTGAAAAGATGAATTATTAATTTTTAAAAGAAATGATTAATTTTTTAAAATGAATAATTTGAACTTATTTCCACTGTTCTTGTTATGCTTGAATTTTTCATTCTACTCTCGCAATCAATAAATTCAATAATTCTCTAATTTTTTTTTATTCAATTAAACTTCATTAGCTAATGATAAGTTTTGATATCATGCAAGCTGCAAGTATCGATTGAACAGTTGTTCTTCCCGTTTCTTCATTGAAAGCGTTCCCAACAAATCGAACTGCGTGTCATTTAACTGGCACTGATGAAATAAAACTTTAAATTTTCTCGCTGCTCTATTACGAAATCCGTCCATTTTTCATTACTCTGATAAATCATTTCTAAATCTTAATTATGATCTCTCACCATCGTAATTCATGGTAAATGTTTATTTAAACATATTATTTCTAATTAAATAGACAATACGTAAATGACATTTTCCGTTGCTGCATACTTTTGTATATTGCAAATTGAACTATTTGATATTTGTATTTTGAATTCGGCCTCTAGCAAAAAAAAAAGCATAATTAATATAGCATAATATAACCGCAAGATATATTTTTTTATATTGCTATTTTCATTTGTTAAAAAGAATATATGACTGTCTCAGAAAAATTTTCGTCTAACTTTTCGTCTATTTTTAATTCTATTTTCAACAAAAAAGAAATTAAATCAGATATTATTTTACATTTGTTATGTTGCGCAATTTATTAGCAAGTGCTATATTGATGACAGCAAAAAAAGAAGAGAAAGAAAAAAAGAGAGAGAGAGAGAAATTAAAAAAGTTTTTTTTTTTTGCACTATAATTTTTTAAATGAATTACCATTCACTAATTTTTAGAACGTTAAGGATAAGAAAAAAAAATTATATTAGAACAAACAATGAATTGAAATATTTTAACTGAGTCATTTTTACGATGCGCAAATATAGGGAAAATGTAAATAGAATATTGGAAGATTAAAAGGATTATCGGATGAATTTAATCTCTTTTCTATCATTTTATCTTATTCTCATAGTACTATTGATAGTGCTAAATATTATAAAGATTAATTTAGCTTATTCATTTAACAAATATCTAATTTTGAAAAAATTTTGTGCTTTATAAAAAATATATGTATTTGCATAATGTTTTATTCAAATTGCATGCATAAAATATTTTATTTTAACAAAGTAATAATTAAATGAAAAATAACCTGCCAAGTGCAAAAAACAATTTTTTTTTTGGTCGATATTTTGATGGTCACAAATCATTTATAAATAATTCCTACATTCAAAAATAATTCAAAAGTGTATTTCATAATTTTATTATTTAAATTTTCCACCTCTATTAATGCTCTCTTCAATCCTCATAATTTACGTATTATACATTTATATATCTATTTCCTTTGAATATTTGATAATAATTTTATTAAATATGAAAAAAAATGAAAATGAAAAGTTTCTGAATTGAATAATGGAGTAAATATTATTAATTATTAAGTATGAAATATATTTATTGCTAAAAAATTCATCTATGATATAACTGGATCAAAATCACACTTTTAGCACTAATTAGCGCAAAAAGAATGTTCAGCGCGGATAAATTATCGAAGCTTTATTTATGTGTTTTTTATAAATAATGAAATTTTTTGAATTTGAAATTATTGATAAAATTTAATATTTTCCTCATTCCTTTAACTTCATTACTTCTGTAAAAATCATTCAAATGACAAGGAAAGATTATCATTAAAAAAAGATCTTAAATATTTGATAAAATTTCAGGCAATTTGAAATTTCTTTTTTTTTTATTTTGAACAAGTAAGCATTTTAGCTATTGTTAACATTCTGTGCAACCCTAAAACAAGCTGAATTTGCTTTAGGAAGTAAATGTAATACTAAAATGAAGAAGAATGATTAACTTTTGGCATTTGATCCAAATATTCCATTAATATGACACATTCATGTCAGAGGTTTTGACTGATAAGTGTGACAGATATTTGACATCCTTGATGTCTTTGACAAGTTTGAAATTGAATTGCCAGCGTTCACATATCCTTATGTCGATGTATGCTTGGAACATTTTCTCAATATTTAGTTAATAAATTTAACAATGAACTTAT